TGTCTCTACCAGCTTTGCACATCTAGAGACTGAAATTCTTGCCCATTCTTCTTTGCAAAACAGCTCTAGGAACTAGGTCAGTTTTAAAAACAACAACAACAACAAAAAAAAAAAACCTTCCCTCAACAAGTGAGCTTCTGTAAATACTGTTCACAAAAATACAATAAAAAAGAAATCATTCTTATTATTAATGATAATAACAATTTATTTACTGTTAAATATCGTTAATATTTTTGTTGTCATGATTGTTATCAACGGATTATGATCAGTACTGAAGATGTTTTTCAAAATAATATTATTCCAACATTCATCATTGTTCACCGCAGCAATAAAATGATAAAAGTTGTATTTGTTGTATATGTATATATCATTTGTGGATCTGTATTTTTATTACCCTATCAGATAATACTGAGTTACAATGATATTCTTTAGGGCTGCCATGTAACACATACTAAATCATTTGTATATTTCAGATAAAATAAATGTATCTTGCACCAATTCATAACAATAGATCAAGCTAAACCGATCAAGCTCCAACATTAAGAAAACTCAACAATTCATTCTGAGAAAAAGTTAAGCATCTCATATTAGGGGAAAAAAATTCTCTTGGACAAATATCGTAGATAAGTACAATAAACAAATCCCTTATTTAAAAATACGATAAACACTTAACATTTATTTTAATTGTATTTTCTGATTTTAAGATTTTGTGTAATTTGCACCCATACAATTCACTGTTCACTGCACCTGAAATTGCTGTTTACATCTCTTAGCAAAAAGTCCATGGAGCGCTTGCAGATTTTCCAAAACGCTGCAGCAAGGCTTCTGACCAAAACATCTAAGTACTCTCAGGTGACACCATTGCTAATACAGCTGCACTCGCTCCCCATGGAATTTAGAGTCCATTTTAAGATTCTGGTTCTGACCTTTAGAGCTCCAGCCTACATCATTGAACTTCTACAGCCCTATGTCCCTTGCAGGCCCCTAAGGTCATGTGATCAGGGCCTACTTGTTATTCAGCATACAAGGCTGAGAACTAAGGGAGACAGAGCTTTTGCCAGTGTGGCTCCCAGACTGTGGAACTCCCACTGAGCTTAAGATGTGTGGACTCAACAACTAAAAACACATCTTTTAAAAATTGCATTTTGTTAACTTTTGTCTGTTTTTGATTTATACTTTGTCTTCCCTGTGTGAAGCACCTTGTCATCTTTTATCTAGAAAGGTGCTATATACATAAAATTTGACTTTACTTATTCACTAAACAGTGACGTAATACACAAAGCACAGTTTGTTTTAAATTAAAAAAAATGCAACCACACAGAACATATACAGAAAAAACTGGAAAACTGGAAAACTACTAATAATTTAATCATCCATACATTTTAACATGAAATATAAATGACAGCATTTATATTTCTATTGTGATTCAAATTACATTTATTTTGAACAGGATGAAGTAGGCATAAGATTTTTCAGTACAAGAAAAATATTTTCATCCCTGAGGCCATAGATCAGAGGACTCAGGCACCTTGGAGCAATATTAAACATGATGTAGTTAAAATATCGGACATTTAGAATTAAACTGAAATCAATCTGAAGCACTGCAATTTCTATGAATGGGCACCACAGCTGAATGAGACAGAGCAGCAACTGGAAAGCATGAAGGATCACTGTTTTGAGTCCTTTTTGTGTCAACTTCTTTTTCTCTCCTGATGCAGCTTTGGCCACTTTCATTATTTGAACATATGAGTATGCAATAGTGATGCCCATAATCAAGAAATA